GTTTTATAATATTAGAGATAACGCAGTGTCTTTTGTTTAATATATTGTGGGAGAAGTTTATATAGCTTCTCTCTAGCTCTGCAGCTGTCAATAGAGTGTTTTTGAGGAGTTTGGGGTAGAGCACTATAGCGCGGATAATCATTTGTTTTGCTGTTAATTTTGATTACCCATATTTACACAAACAGCAAAATCCTGAAAAATCTTAAAAAGGAAAAAAATAAAAATAAATTGGCAAACCTGGATAACATTCAAAAAACTCAAACTTGGAAACCTAACAGACTGACAAAATAAAGAATAGATCCATATGCCACAGCTCAAGGGCCACATATACTCTTTATATGCCCCCCTCCCCATCTTATTTTTTGTTCCCTTCTTTACGATACCCTCCCAAAAAAAAAAACTTTCCACATCTATACTTTAATTCCCGCAACCTCTACAATCCAGATATTCCCAATAAATGAAGTAAATTGGGAACACATTTACCCATAATCAAAGGCAATTTAAGCTTTACTGGAACACACAACTAGACATTTAAAAAGGTCCAAACTTTATACGTTAAGAATTTGCTCTAGAACATTTGTCTGTTGAACATCCAAACTTCTTTGACAATACGTGTATATAGTCATTGAAACAAGTGCATCTTTCTTCAACAGAAATAGCCAATGCATTCAGGACCTCATACAAATACCCCTTTCATTAGGGCTTACGAAGGGAAACCCTGTATAAGGACTGTGATGGCTTTCAATTAGATACACAGAGCTCATGAGCAGCTGGTCACATGAAGATGTATCTGGGCTATTAAACAGTGTGTCGCACTTCAATTAACAATCTTGCAACATATACAGGCATGTAAATCTTTACCTCACATGCCCAATTTCAAGGGAGGGAGGAGAAATACAGATACATCTTTAACGCTCCTAAAATATCCAGGGAAAAAGAGCAATCCCCTTGGAATGAGAAGGTGGTGAACAAACAGCAGCACAATGATCTCACTAAGATGAAAGGGGAAAATGACAAAGTTACAAGAACACTTTGTCCCTGTAGAGAACACAGAAAGAAGTTGCACGATAGAAACAACAGCTCCAACATCCACAGAGCTGAAGTTATGGCAATCAGAAAGTCACCTACAACAACAAAGTCATAGAAGGACCCTTGCGTAAGGGCTCAAATGAAGAGCAGTAAAAAAGGACAGATAAAAGCAGAATTACAGCAAAAAGAGACAAAGCTTGACAGGCGCAACACGGGGCAATACCCTGTACAAAAGTGTTGACCAGAGAATGAGACGCCAAATGGGTGCTGAAACAGGATTGCAAGAGCAGAGATCTGACTCTCGGGGGTACCAAATGCAAGTTGCGGCTCTAAGCCTTACTGCAGGAAGCCAATAAAACAGAGCTATGGAGAAGGTTGTTTCAGACCATCTGAAGGTAGTCTTCTTGGTACAGTGAGAAACATATCAGTGAGGCACAAAGCATAGTAGATATGTTGTACCACTTGTAGGGTAAAAGTCCAGTGAATATCCAGGTCTAGTGTGAGAGTGCTCATGCCCAACTTCATGTTATACTGTATTTGATGTGTCAATAATCTTCAAAACCGTAATATAACTGGTTGTGTAGAAATGCAGTTTTTAGTACTAATGACTTCAGCACATGCACAGACCCATGGAACATGGTTACCTATATATTGCAGCTCACCAGTCATCACATGATTTAGTTACAATCATTTTCTTCCCCTTTTATTTTCACCTGGTAATCTTGCCAATAACCCAATTCCTGTCCCTGGGCTAAGCTCACTTCTCCGCTGCATCTAAACAAGGAGCCATGGTTACAACCAAAGATGGACTTTAAACAAGTCTGACTTGAACACATATCCATTACATTGTTGCTAAGGAGATAAGTGATTTACAAAAGAAAAGAAAAAATAAGCTTGTTTGCGATTTCTGCTCAGCTCACAGAAAGTGACAAAGATCCTAAATTTCTGTCATGATCTACCAGTATTTTCTATACTTGCTCAAATTGTTCTAGCCTGAAAAAAGAATAAACCATTGTACCCACTAGCGATGCACTGATACAGATATTTGGGATTTTCACAAGTACTCGTTCTGGCGAAAATGCCCCGATACTGGCAATTTAATTTTTTTTTAGGCACAAGTGGCTGCCGCAAGGTCCTTGCTTGCTGGGGACCTCACGGCGCTGCTTACAGCACTAGCCATGTACTCCTTCCTGTGGATTCCCATTGCCTGCCTCCGGACCCCTGGTGAGATGCCCCACTAGCCAGGAGGCCACCAATCCAGAGCAGCACAAAGTATGTAGCTTCATATTATACAGCATTGCACTATAATGTTCTGCTGGGATTTGTAGTCCTCTATAACCCGTACCAGTCTGTATTGCTGGGATTTGTAGTCCTCTATAGCTGGTGGTATTCTGCTTTGCTATATAATGTATTGCCGGTAATTGTAGTTCCTCTACAGCAGGGGTCTCAAAGTACCGGCCCGCGAGCCAGTACTACGTGGCCCGCAGCCAGCTGCTTGTGGGAGCAGCTACACTGTCTGCATCTGTCTGATGCAGACCGCAGAGCTGCTCCTGTCAGCTCCGGCCAGAGCTCTGTCAATTCTGAGCTCCGGCCGAATCATGGATGATTAGTAAGGTCTGCACTAGACCTTACTAATCAGTACTAGATCACCAGGGAACGATGATGTGCCTCCTCCCTGCAGAGATGCAAGCAGGTAAGGGGGCTTGGAAGGAAAGGAGGGAGGGTTTATTATGTGTGTTCAGGGGGCTTGGGAGGAAGTTTGTTTTCTGGGGGCTTGAGAGGGGGGGAAGTTTATTACGTGTTCTGGGGGCTTGGGAGGGAGGGGGGAAGTTTATTACGTGTTCTGGGGACTTGGGAGGGAGGAAGTTTATTACTATATGTGCTGGGGTAGCAGTGTATTAAATGTGTGTCGGGGGCTTGGGGCAAGGGTGAAGTGTATTATGTGTTTGTGGGGAGGGAGTGTATTATGTGTGCGGGGGGAGATTGGAATGGGTGGAGGGTCCCCTATATTTCAGGTGCGATCAGGGATTCCTGTCTCACAAACTTGCGTTTTCGTGCACAGGAATCCCTAATCTGGCGTTTACATGCAGCAACTGTCACCCATTCAAGTTAATGATCAGGTTACAGCCGCTGCATGTAATCATATGTGATACGAATACATGCAGTTACAAAAACAATCACTATCCCTGGATACAATTGTGTATCCAGGGATAGTGATTCCTAACTGCATGTAATCCTTTCACATATTACATGCGGTGTGCAGGCGTTTACATGCAGCAGCTGTCACCCGATCATTAATTTGAATCGGTGACAGTTGCAGCTTGTAACATGTGCATACATTAAAACTGGTACCGTATATAGTAGCGGCCCCCACAGGACTCAAAAACTTGTCCAGTGGCCCCCAACTAAATTGAGTTTGAGACCCCTGATCCACAGCTTGAGTCACAGTTGCACTGTCCTAAAATCATTAGTCTGCAATCATTTAGAAAAACTCAGCATGACACACGCACAAAAAAAAACAAAAAACGGGGTATCGGTGTATCCCTGGTAGTCACAACATCAAAGGACTGGTAAGGTGGAATAATCAATACAACGGCGTTATACTTCCCTAAAGCTGCAGCCTCTGATGCTGAAAGGAGGACAGATCCCCAGGAATTTTAGCATTGTGTTTGACATTTCATAAAAATAGCTCACTGTCTGCCTGCTATGGCAGTTAAAAGAATAGCTTAACAAGTTCATATAAAATTTCCCTTTTTTTGGTCGAGTTGGAAGTGTCTACAGAGCTTGGCCAACTGAAATCGTCAGTTGGCCAAATCCCCACTATTTTTTTATTTTTTTTTTAAACACTACACATGAAAATACTCACTATATGTATAGCATTGTGTAGTCAGATATAGATATATAGATATATATCTATACATCTGCAGTCCCACTTCTACTTTAAGTTAGTCAAAGGCTATTAGGTGTATACCGATAAAGGAAAAGCTCCTGAGACAACTGCTAACCCCCTAAAAGGAAAAAACACGCCCAGGTGCCACCACAACTGCAAAACCAAATC